AATTATTTTCAAAAAAATGAAGCGCGTGGCATTGAATTTTATTGGACTAATTTAAGTGTGCATATTAGTAGATTGTTTAACAATAAGAATATTTCCTAAAATTAGAGTCAAAGCACCCCTAAATTCGCCCTATTGATCCCTATACGTTTGTCTTAGAAAAACGACTAAATTTAAAAATTATTAAAAAAAAAATGAAGCGGGTGGCATTGCATTTTATTGGACTTATTTAAGGGTGCAAATTAGTAGATTGTTTAACAATAAGAATATTTCCTAAAATTAGAGTTAAAGCACCCCTAAATTGGTCCTATTCATCTCTATACGTCGATCTAAGAAAAACGACGAAGTTTAAAAATTATTTTCAAAAAAATGAAGCGCGTGGCATTGAATTTTATTGGACTTATTTAAGTGTGCATATTAGTAGATTGTTTAACAATAAGAATATTTCCTAAAATTAGAGTCAAAGCACCCCTAAATTCGCCCTATTGATCCCTATACGTTTGTCTTAGAAAAACGACTAAATTTAAAAATTATTAAAAAAAAAATGAAGCGGGTGGCATTGCATTTTATTGGACTTATTTAAGGGTGCAAATTAGTAGATTGTTTAACAATAAGAATATTTCCTAAAATTAGAGTTAAAGCACCCCTAAATTGGTCCTATTCATCTCTATACGTCGATCTAAGAAAAACGACGAAGTTTAAAAATTATTTTCAAAAAAATGAAGCGCGTGGCATTGAATTTTATTGGACTTATTTAAGGGTGCATACTTGTAGATTGTTTATCAATAAGAATGTTGCCTAAAATTAGAGTCAAAGCACCCCTAAATTGGGCCTATTCATCCGTATACGTTTATCAAAGAAAAGCGACTAAGTTTTAAAATTATTTTCAAAAAAATGAAGCGCGTGGCATTAAATTTTATTGAACTTATTTAAGGGTACATATTAGTAGATTGTTTAACAATAAGAATATTTCCTAAAATTCGAGTCAAAGGACCCCTAAATTCGCCCTATCGGCCCTATTGATCCCTATACGTTTGTCTTAGAAAAACGACTAACTTTAGAAATAATTTTCAAAAAAATGAAGCGAGTGGCATTGAATTTTATTGGACTTATTTAAGGGTGCATATTAGTAGATTGTTTAACAATAAGAATATTGCCTAAAATTAGAGCCAAAGCACCCCTAAATTGCGGCTATTCATCCCTATACGTCGATCTTCGAAAAACGACTAAGTTTAAAAATTATTTTCAAAAAAATGAAGCGTGTTGCATTGAATTTTATT